GGGCATTTTGCAAAATGCCCGAGTTTTCACTTTGCCTGTAACAATGCATGTAACATGTAATACATGTAACAATAATGCCTGTACAATGCGTCTAGTAAAGATCTCCAGACGTAACTAGATGGCGTTGAGCCTTAATGTCAAATTCAAGGAGAGGTCACTACCGAGCTGGGCCCGATGGGGAGGTGGGTGAGGGCAGGGGCGCAGCCAAGGGGGCGCACAATGGGCTTTAGCCCCCCCCCCCCCAAATCTAGCAGGCGCCCTCATCCAGGGCGCCGGAGGCGCCCTGGATGGCGCCTTTCACGATCATTTCGGGGCGCCGAAGGCGCCTTTCTAATGTCCAGCACTCTAGGCGCCCTCGACGGTTAGCCATTGCGGTACACCATGCGGCACTGGCGCCCAGGTTTACAATTTTATATCTCTTTGTGGGTGAAGATGCACCCACAATCCTGAACTGCCAGACATCCACCCCCAATCTCCTGACCATCTAGTGCCCTCATCATCTTCAGCGCCCTTCTGATCTGTCGGCGCCCTTCTCGCCATTCAGCGCTCTTAAGGCCTGCCGGCGCCCTTTTCACATTCGGCGCCCTCTGGGCTGACCAGTCGGCGCCTTCATGGTCCTTACCACACAGCATCCTCCTGATCTGTCTGCGCCCTCCACACTTGTCGGCGCCCTCCTCACCTGTCAGCGCCCTCCTTATCGTATTATAGCGCCCTCCTCACCGTACAGCGCCCTCCTGACCTGTCGCCGGCCTCCTCACTGTATAAGTGTATAGCGGCCTCACCTAACCATACAAAGCCCTCCAGACCGGCGCCCTATGCGTTTAGCGCCCTCCTGACAAGTCGGTGCCCTTTTCACCGAAGAGGGCCCTCCTGAGCTGTAGGCGGCCTCCTGACCGTACATCGCCTTCCTCACCTGTCCGCGCCCTCCTCTTTAACCCTATTCCTGGCGGGCTCCGCCGGGACAAGAAACTGGCGGGGGGGGCCGATTCGGCCCCCCCTTCAGATCTCAAAAACTACACATCGCAGCGACAAACGGTAAACGGCATTGGATACGCACGGTCAAGATCTACAATTTTTACAAAGGTCATTTTCAGGTCAGGTCAAAGATGACGTCACAGGGGTCGAAAAAGTCAAAATGGCGGCGCTAGATATGGAGAGTTTTTCTCGAATAACTTTCGAATTAGTCAAGAAAGGAACAAACTAAGGACATCATCGTGATCCTCTCGTCAATCCGCATCGAATGATATATATGTTGACCTCGAAAGGTCAAGGTCAAAGGTTGACCTCAGGTCACGTGACCTCGAGGTCATCATGTATATCATTCGATGCGTCTTGACGAGCTGAACACAATGAGACCATCCACGCGTCTGTATCTTGTTCCTGTACGGAGTTATTGGCCAAAAGCCTTTGGTGACCTTTGATGACGTCACATGACCTCACAGCTGCCCAACAGCAAAACAGACCTCAAGGTAGGGAAGGTTGATCGTATATGAAGTCATGTATGGTATATGGGGCCATTCCGACCCGTTTTAGTGGTAAAAACAGGGAGTTGATTTTTTCCCCATTGACTTATAATGGGGAGGTCGCGAAACTGACCTGACCTTAAGTCACCGATATCAAAATTCCGAGATATACAAATTGCACATACTGGTACCCTAACTAAAGCCTGAAGAGAAGAAATTGATCGGTCAAAAACTCCAGCTCTGGCGTGATTGCAAACTTTTCTGAGGTAGGGTCACCAAACCGCCTCTGCCCTCTGGTGACCTGACCACAGAGGTCAGATCAACTCAAAATTTACAGGCATGTTGCGTAGAAGCCTTTTAGGAAAAGTCAGAAAATTTGAGCTTCCTAGCTTAACGCGTTTGGGAGAAATAACCAAAAAACCTCAGGGGGGGCTCCTGAGGCCCCCCCCCCGCCAGGAATAGGGTTAAGCAGTACCCTCTTGACTTGTCAGCGCCATCTTCACTCGTAGTGCCCTCCTCATCGTATAGCATCATCCTCACCATACGGCGCCCCCCTGACCTGCCGGCGCTCTCCTCATTATACAGCGCCCTGCAGACTTGTCGGTGCCCTCTTCACGTAGCGCCCTCCAGATCTGTCGCAGCCCTCATCACCGTGCAGTGCCCTTCTCACCTGTCGGCGACATCTTCGCGTTCAGCGCCCTCCTGACCAGTCAGCACCCTCCGCAATGTATAGCGTCCTCATCACCATACAGCGCCTTCCTGACCTGCTGACGCTCTCCTCACCATACATCGTCCTCCTGACCTGTCGGCGCCCTTTTCACCGTAAAGCGCCCTCCTGATCGGCGCCCTCCTCACATTACAGTGTCCTCCTCACCGATTATCGTTCTTCTCACCATACACTCCGGACCTGTCAGCGCCCTCTTCACGTTACCTATGTTGGTTACTGACCGTGGTAAGCTCTGACCACTATGTTATGCGTTTAGTTGTGTATTATGGTTTTCCATGATCCGTCATATTTTGTGAACTGCCGTAGAAGCTTGAGCTTGAGAGAAGGTGAGCTTGACAGCAAACCAAGCTCAGTTTAAACTCATTTTGTTTAAAGTTTTGTTTAAAATTTTGGCTTCACACAATAACAAATGTTGCCTCGCACGTAAAATATCCAGTTTCTTTACAACTATTTACAATTAGAAAAGCGTTAGGCGCCAACGATTTAGGCGCCAACTAGAAATAGAGCAATTTCCGGAAAATAAAGGCATGACAACGTATCCAAAGCCTTATTTTGGAGCTTACTGCATCTAATTTGGCAAACATCCATCGAGCACGTCAGTGCCACTGGCCCGACCGGCAAACTATTCACTCATCTTATTCACTCTCATTCAACTCATTCACTTATCACTTTCGTCCGTTAGGCGGCACGGGCGGACATCGATAGCAGCGCCTCTATCGGTCACTAGGGAAAGCTTGGCTGTAGGCGACGAAATACCGGCTGAGTTGTCACACGTTGAATAGGTTTATAGACATCCGTCTTGTGAAAAAGTTGAACTTTTGCCTTCAATATTTCTACAGGCAATTTTAGAAGTGTCTTCACATAGATTACAAAACCATTTAGATTATTCTATTCACTTCAAGCCTTTCCTATTGTTCTTGACGAGATGCGGGAACTATTTCTAATTAGTGTTTCTAGCTTAGTAAAAGAACATCTTATGCAAACGATGAAAAAAGCATAAATGGAAGATTTTATATGCAATTTTCTCTAACAATTAATGGTAAATTATCTACATATCAAGGAAAAGATGCATGCTAACTGATAATTTAAAGTTTTTGGGGCCAGTTGTCTTCCTCTTTTCTTACGTCGCCCCAATGGCCGCGAATACACTAGTGATAACGCCTATCGCCTTTTTGGGTCGGTCGTAAGCCAGACGACGCTTGACACTAGAATTTGAGATCTAAATTGGAACCGAAGGACAGAGGAACTGAGCCAGGCCCATGGGGTCGAAAAATACACCAGTAATGCAGACATTCGCAGTCCGTTTGTGTTTGCATGCAAGGCTGCAAGAATGCCGAGCCTCGCTTCCGTTTGAAATGCGCAAAATGTAAAGGCAGTTTTCATCTGGAATACCTAGAATAAACCGTAATTTGAGAGGAATAAGGTCGAGTGACAATGTAAGGGAAATACGAGAGTGTACATTTTGTCGTCTTTGCTCGGCATTGATAGCGTCCTCCAGAGCCGAAATTGGCGCCCTTCTGACCCGAAGTTGGCGCCCTCCTGACCCAAAATTGGCGCCCTCACCAATTCTAGCCCCCGAAATTTTTTCCTGGCGGCGCCCCTGCGGAACCTACCACCCGTAGGGGGGGGGGGCGTTTCGCCCCCCCCCCCTAAGATCTCGGAAATTTACCGGCCGATTTTCAAAATTCAAACGGCGTTCGATAGCCCAATCCGGGAACTACCATGTGATCAAATTTCATTGACCTAGGTCAAACCGATGACGTCACAGGTCAGGTCAAAGGTCGGATTTTCACCGTTCACAGGCAATTCAAGAAATGTGTTGTGAAATCGAGTAAATTGGTAATTTATTGAAAACCATCGGTGGTATATTGTTCGTCAAACACATACTTTGCTATCTGAGGTCACTGATACCAGGTCAGGACACAGCGAGGTCAGGTCACCGGGGTCACAATATGAAAGTGTCGTGTGATACATGTTTTATGGTCCATTTTACATGACAAATGCGATTTTGTGGGTTAGGCAGCCTTTGGGGCCAGCCTAGGTCACGTTTTGGTAAAGGTCAGGTGAAGGTCAGGTCAAATTAGGTCAAATTTCAAAGTTGATATTTTTGCATAAAATGGGTATCAATTCGATGCAACTCGTCACGGGGAGTCTAATGGTGATCATTGTTTTGCTCTACGAGGTCTAGAATTGCCAAAACTTGAGTTTGAAAATTTGGCGTTATCATTTTTGAGCAGTTTTTGGCTATAACTTGGCCAAAAAACGAGGCATCGATCTGAAATTTGGTATGTAGATAGAAGACGGTAGGTGCTATCACATATATTCCGGGTTTTTCGAAACTCAAATTCTTTTTTGGATTTTTTGGCTAATATATCCAAAAATGCTTTTTTGGATTTTGGGGGTCAAAACTTTAAAAAATAAAAATCAGAGATAATAGTTTTGTAGCCCTGTCAATTTTACATCTTTTATGTTTGATCATTTTTCTGTAGCTTCAAAGCTGTAGGCCTGACAGGTCTTCTCGCGAAGGTCTTTTTTCGGTCGAAAATGACAGAACATGACGTCATTCTGACGTCATTTGTGGCCAACCTATCATAGCCTCTGGAAAAATGTTTGGTGACAATGTGTAAAATTGATGCCCGGAGGGGTCCTGAAAGTTTGATACCTAGCGATATCTCCAGCCGTTCAGGAGATATCGACGGAAAAGGACAGTGGGGCTATTTCGGCCCCCCCCCCTACGGGGCGTGGGCTAATCACGTGTCACGTGGAAAGAAAAAGTCTCTATAACTTGAGAAATCGGCAATTTTTGGTACATTTCAGGAAAAGCATTGTCATTTAAAAACAATGCATTGTAATGTGATGAGATGAAATGCATTCCATGGACTTCAAGAGCATGCGACTTTTCAAGAAATGAAGTTTGTGGTCGTCCATGACCCACGTGCACACCTTTATAATGAAAAGACGCTTACATATTACAAGTTTTACATGCAATGGGCATGTTCATCATTACACGGTCATTATGCATTGATAATGCAGACGTGTGGCCCGCCAATCAATCTACCATACATCGGAAGCACATTTTTTTCTGATCAATATCAACCCAAAGTATTTTCAAAAAGCCATCAAGGCTCTTAGAAACATTGTAACGTGTTTAACGCGTGTTTACCGATAAAACCGCGCCGGGCGCCCGGCAGCCGGCGCGGAGGCCGGGACGCTGCCTGGGGCTCAGTGACCTTGAACTCGGCAGCGCTACCCGGAGAATGTCTCACTGTGTGTCCTCCCACTTGGTGTGCCAGTGCATCGCTTGTGATTAACCTCTGTAGGCGGCACTTACAATATGTTTACGTATTGTCGCTGGTGTGAGTTCGATGTCAAGTTTTTTTCAAACTGCCTGGGAAAATAATTTCAGGCAGTTTGCAAAATGCCTGGTGGGCCAGGCAGTTTGCAAACTGCCCAGGCATTTTACAAAATGCCTGGCGGGTCAGCCATTTTGCAAATTGCCTAGGCATTTTGCAAAATGTCTGGTTTTTCACTTTGCCTGTAACATATACATAATATTTCTGTTATCAATCGCTGAAAGATTCAAAGCGATTGGTCATTCGGTGTAGATATGACAGGCATTGAAACTTGTTAGGAGATGAGGTCACTTGACGTGACTTGGTGACCTGACCTTGAGTGAAATTGGTCTGAAATTTTCACTGAAAGATCAATAATGAGGTGTGGCAAAAACAGCGGCGCTTTTGAGATACCGAAAAAACGCACAGGGGCATTCAACTGTTCACCCCCCCCCCCCCCCCCCATCAGGGAGCGGGTCACGCAACGCCTTTTCACGCAACATAATCAAGAAGCTAGCTGACAAGTGTTTGGCAGGTGCTTTGAAGCACGTGAACACGTGAGATGGCAGATCTGTAGCGCATTGGGGGTCAAATCACCCTCTCCGAGCTTTTGGGGATGGGGCCATGACCCTGTGGACTCTCCTCCCCCCCCCCGCCAGGATCCGCCACTGGAAGAGCTGGAGCGATCATTGGGCGGTGGTGCTGCTGCGATGGGCCCCCGTGCCGGCTAGGTAGACCGGTGGGTAGCTCCAGGGGCGCGGCCGCCGCCGCCGGCCGGCCGGGCAGGCATCCGTCGATCGCTGGCAGCGTGCCCGAGGGCTGCCTGCCGCCGCCTGGCGGCCCCTCAGGCAATCAGCGCTCTGACGTCACAGCTCTCGTCTCGTCTGTCCTGCCGCCCCCGCTGGTTCACTTCTCCTTCTGTCGAGCTCCAGGTAACGTCCGCGCCGGCGGCTAGTGCGCCTGTTCCCCCGTTGGTTCACTTCTCCTTCTGTCGAGCTCCAGGTAACGTCCGCGCCGGCGGCTAGTGCGCCTGTTCCCCCGCTGGTTCACTTCTCCTTCTGTCGAGCTCCAGGTAACGTCCGCGCCGGCGGCTAGTGCGCCTGTTCCCCCGCTGGTTCACTTCTCCTTCTGTCGAGCTCCAGGTAACGTCCGCGCCGGCGGCTAGTGCGCCTGTTCCCCCGCTGGTTCACTTCTCCTTCTGTCGAGCTCCAGGTAACGTCCGCGCCGGCGGCTAGTGCGCCTGTTCCCCCGCTGGTTCACTTCTCCTTCTGTCGAGCTCCAGGTAACGTCCGCGCCGGCGGCTAGTGCGCCTGTTCCCCCGTTGGTTCACTTCTCCTTCTGTCGAGCTCCAGGTAACGTCCGCGCCGGCGGCTAGTGCGCCTGTTCCCCCGCTGGTTCACTTCTCCTTCTGTCGAGCTCCAGGTAACGTCCGCGCCGGCGGCTAGTGCGCCTGTTCCCCCGCTGGTTCACTTCTCCTTCTGTCGAGCTCCAGGTAACGTCCGCGCCGGCGGCTAGTGCGCCTGTTCCCCCGTTGGTTCACTTCTCCTTCTGTCGAGCTCCAGGTAACGTCCGCGCCGGCGGCTAGTGCGCCTGTTCCCCCGCTGGTTCACTTCTCCTTCTGTCGAGCTCCAGGTAACGTCCGCGCCGGCGGCTAGTGCGCCTGTTCCCCCGCTGGTTCACTTCTCCTTCTGTCGAGCTCCAGGTAACGTCCGCGCCGGCGGCTAGTGCGCCTGTTCCCCCGCTGGTTCACTTCTCCTTCTGTCGAGCTCCAGGTAACGTCCGCGCCGGCGGCTAGTGCGCCTGTTCCCCCGCTGGTTCACTTCTCCTTCTGTCGAGCTCCAGGTAACGTCCGCGCCGGCGGCTAGTGCGCCTGTTCCCCCGCTGGTTCACTTCTCCTTCTGTCGAGCTCCAGGTAACGTCCGCGCCGGCGGCTAGTGCGCCTGTTCCCCCGCTGGTTCACTTCTCCTTCTGTCGAGCTCCAGGTAACGTCCGCGCCGGCGGCTAGTGCGCCTGTTCCCCCGTTGGTTCACTTCTCCTTCTGTCGAGCTCCAGGTAACGTCCGCGCCGGCGGCTAGTGCGCCTGTTCCCCCGCTGGTTCACTTCTCCTTCTGTCGAGCTCCAGGTAACGTCCGCGCCGGCGGCTAGTGCGCCTGTTCCCCCGCTGGTTCACTTCTCCTTCTGTCGAGCTCCAGGTAACGTCCGCGCCGGCGGCTAGTGCGCCTGTTCCCCCGCTGGTTCACTTCTCCTTCTGTCGAGCTCCAGGTAACGTCCGCGCCGGCGGCTAGTGCGCCTGTTCCCCCGCTGGTTCACTTCTCCTTCTGTCGAGCTCCAGGTAACGTCCGCGCCGGCGGCTAGTGCGCCTGTTCCCCCGTTGGTTCACTTCTCCTTCTGTCGAGCTCCAGGTAACGTCCGCGCCGGCGGCTAGTGCGCCTGTTCCCCCGCTGGTTCACTTCTCCTTCTGTCGAGCTCCAGGTAACGTCCGCGCCGGCGGCTAGTGCGCCTGTTCCCCCGTTGGTTCACTTCTCCTTCTGTCGAGCTCCAGGTAACGTCCGCGCCGGCGGCTAGTGCGCCTGTTCCCCCGCTGGTTCACTTCTCCTTCTGTCGAGCTCCAGGTAACGTCCGCGCCGGCGGCTAGTGCGCCTGTTCCCCCGCTGGTTCACTTCTCCTTCTGTCGAGCTCCAGGTAACGTCCGCGCCGGCGGCTAGTGCGCCTGTTCCCCCGCTGGTTCACTTCTCCTTCTGTCGAGCTCCAGGTAACGTCCGCGCCGGCGGCTAGTGCGCCTGTTCCCCCGCTGGTTCACTTCTCCTTCTGTCGAGCTCCAGGTAACGTCCGCGCCGGCGGCTAGTGCGCCTGTTCCCCCGTTGGTTCACTTCTCCTTCTGTCGAGCTCCAGGTAACGTCCGCGCCGGCGGCTAGTGCGCCTGTTCCCCCGCTGGTTCACTTCTCCTTCTGTCGAGCTCCAGGTAACGTCCGCGCCGGCGGCTAGTGCGCCTGTTCCCCCGCTGGTTCACTTCTCCTTCTGTCGAGCTCCAGGTAACGTCCGCGCCGGCGGCTAGTGCGCCTGTTCCCCCGTTGGTTCACTTCTCCTTCTGTCGAGCTCCAGGTAACGTCCGCGCCGGCGGCTAGTGCGCCTGTTCCCCCGCTGGTTCACTTCTCCTTCTGTCGAGCTCCAGGTAACGTCCGCGCCGGCGGCTAGTGCGCCTGTTCCCCCGCTGGTTCACTTCTCCTTCTGTCGAGCTCCAGGTAACGTCCGCGCCGGCGGCTAGTGCGCCTGTTCCCCCGCTGGTTCACTTCTCCTTCTGTCGAGCTCCAGGTAACGTCCGCGCCGGCGGCTAGTGCGCCTGTTCCCCCGCTGGTTCACTTCTCCTTCTGTCGAGCTCCAGGTAACGTCCGCGCCGGCGGCTAGTGCGCCTGTTCCCCCGCTGGTTCACTTCTCCTTCTGTCGAGCTCCAGGTAACGTCCGCGCCGGCGGCTAGTGCGCCTGTTCCCCCGCTGGTTCACTTCTCCTTCTGTCGAGCTCCAGGTAACGTCCGCGCCGGCGGCTAGTGCGCCTGTTCCCCCGTTGGTTCACTTCTCCTTCTGTCGAGCTCCAGGTAACGTCCGCGCCGGCGGCTAGTGCGCCTGTTCCCCCGCTGGTTCACTTCTCCTTCTGTCGAGCTCCAGGTAACGTCCGCGCCGGCGGCTAGTGCGCCTGTTCCCCCGCTGGTTCACTTCTCCTTCTGTCGAGCTCCAGGTAACGTCCGCGCCGGCGGCTAGTGCGCCTGTTCCCCCGCTGGTTCACTTCTCCTTCTGTCGAGCTCCAGGTAACGTCCGCGCCGGCGGCTAGTGCGCCTGTTCCCCCGCTGGTTCACTTCTCCTTCTGTCGAGCTCCAGGTAACGTCCGCGCCGGCGGCTAGTGCGCCTGTTCCCCCGTTGGTTCACTTCTCCTTCTGTCGAGCTCCAGGTAACGTCCGCGCCGGCGGCTAGTGCGCCTGTTCCCCCGCTGGTTTACTTCTCCTTCTGTCGAGCTCCAGGTAACGTCCGCGCCGGCGGCTAGTGCGCCTGTTCCCCCGCTGGTTCACTTCTCCTTCTGTCGAGCTCCAGGTAACGTCCGCGCCGGCGGCTAGTGCGCCTGTTCCCCCGTTGGTTCACTTCTCCTTCTGTCGAGCTCCAGGTAACGTCCGCGCCGGCGGCTAGTGCGCCTGTTCCCCCGCTGGTTCACTTCTCCTTCTGTCGAGCTCCAGGTAACGTCCGCGCCGGCGGCTAGTGCGCCTGTTCCCCCGCTGGTTCACTTCTCCTTCTGTCGAGCTCCAGGTAACGTCCGCGCCGGCGGCTAGTGCGCCTGTTCCCCCGCTGGTTCACTTCTCCTTCTGTCGAGCTCCAGGTAACGTCCGCGCCGGCGGCTAGTGCGCCGTGTAGCGCGCCGCCGCCTGCTCAGTGTATGTACGGGGTGACGGGCGACAGACTCTGCCCGGTTTGTAGTGGTGCTCTGCCCGCTGCTCTGCCCGCTGCTCTGCCCGGGCAGAGCAATGCAGCCTGCTCCACCAGTCACCAGTCACTAATACAGCCCCCTCCACCAATACCGCGGCCCCTCTGACAGTCACCGGTCACTAATACAGCCCTCCCCCTCCACCAATACCGCGGCCCCTCTGACAGTCACCGGTCACTAATACAGCCCCCCCCCCCTCCACCAATACCGCGGCCCCTCTGACAGTCACCGGTCACTAATACAGCCCCCCCCCCCACCAATACTGCGGCCCCTCTGACAGTCACCAGTCACTAATACAGCCCCCTCCACCAATACTGAGGCCCCTCTGACAGTCACCGGTCACTAATACAGCCCCCTCCACCAATACCGCGGCCCCTCTGACAGTCACCGGTCACTAATACAGCCCCCTCCACCAATACCGCGGCCCCTCTGACAGTCACCGGTCACTAATACAGCCCCCTCCACCAATACCTCTGACAGTCACCGGTCACTAATGGCGCTCCTATCGGGTGCAGTTGTTCCCAGCTCAGCCGGACACGATGGTTGACGCCGCCACTCTGGAGAAGCTGGAGGCCGGCTTCCAGAAGCTGCAGGCCGCCACCGACTGCAAGTCGCTGCTGAAGAAATACCTCACCAAAGAGGTGTTCGACAGCCTCAAGACCAAGAAGACCTCGTTCGGCTCGACCCTGCTCGATGTCATCCAGTCCGGTGAGTTCACTGGCCGCTGTGCTGTCCGTCCCCGCCCGTCGTCCGGTCCCTGTCTTGGCATCCTATGAAAACAAGATGGTTTCGGATCATGAGTATTGTTACCGAGATGAGTGTTTCCGCACTTCTTTATCACTAATTAGCAATGCTCGCATCTGTGATCGAGAAGTGCTTCACTTAATTTTGTACCTGGAAGTTAGGCATCAGAAGTGCCCGACATGGGGCACGCGAGTGATAAAAATGACTGATCAGTAAGAAAACTGTGAAAAAGAGATCATCAAGAAGCGAAGTAGAACAAATATGTAATTAAGTAGCACATATTGAATCATATTGCGTTAAGATCAAACTTTGTGATATCATCATTTAGATATGAAGGCATAGTCCTAATGTGAGTTTAAAGACAATGCAAAGTCTATGTGAGCAAAGCAATCTTTTTCCTAAAGATTTCTCATTAAGAAACACAACGCGAGGAAACTATCACAACAAGTATGATAACCAGTAAAACGCCTTTTGGGCGAAGAACGAACGAGCGAGATAGTGAGCCCTGCACGTGCGGAAGGGCGAGAGGGCTTTTTCAACGGGCTTGTGCAAAGCACCCTTCTAACCGGTCGCTAGCGGTGTACCGAATTTGAACGCAATTGGCCCAGCCGTTCCTGAGATCTCGAAGCGGCATTCTGCACGTGCGCACGTGGGAACGGAGTCCAAACTGACTTTTGCACGGCACCCTACTAACTGGTCCCCAACCGTGTACCAAATTTGAGCGCAATCGGCCCAGCCGTTCTCGAGATCTGGAAGCGCCCCCTGCACGTGCGCACGTGCAATAGCACCTTAACCCGCGCACCGACGGGGGGGGGGGCGGATATCCGCTCCCTGAGGTTTTTCGTAGATAGCGAGAAAACCGAAATTTGGTACGACTATTCTCTCATCAATTTTACACATGGTGGGCAAGTTTGAACCTCCTAACTTTTAAGGTCAGGTCACCAGGTCACTTTGAATGATCCAACCTCAAGTCACCTTTTTGCACCTTTGTCACCGTGCCAGAGCTACAGTAGATGTCGGAGACCTTTGAAAGTCGCAGGATGTTATAAGGTCATTAGTGGCTACAATTTGTATATCTCGAAATTTTGATATCGATGACCTAAGGTCAGGTCAATTTCTCTACCTCCCCATTATAAGTCAATGGAGAAATCAACTCCCTGTTTTTACCACTAAAACGGGTCGGAATGGCCCCATAAACCATATATGACTTCACACACGATCGACCGTCACTACCTTGAGGTCTGTTTTGCTGTTGGGCAGCTGTAAGGTCATGTGACGTTATCAAAGGTCACCAAAGGGTTTTTTTGCCAATAACTCCGTACAGGAACAAGATACAACCACGCAGATGGTCTCATTGTGTTCAGCTCGTCAAGGCGCATCGAATGATATACATGATGACCTCGAGAGTCGCGGTCACGTGACCTGAGGTCAACCTTTGACCTTGACCTTTCGAGGTCAACATATATGTTGACGAGAGGATCACGATGATGCCTCTAGTTTGTTCTTATCTTGACTAGTTCGAAAGTTATTCGAGAAAAACTCTCTCCATATCTAGCGCCGCCATTTTGACTTTTTTGACCCCTGTGACGTCATCTTTAACCTGACCTGAAAATGACCTCATAAAAATTGTAGACCTTGTCCGTGCGTATCCCATGCCGTTTGCCGCTTGTCGCTATCTTGCTTTGTTCTCGAGATCTCAGGGGGGTGGTCATCCGCCCCCCCGTCGGTTCTAAGTTGGCGCAGATCCCCGTCGGTGCGCGGGTTAACCGCAACACATGGTCCGTGTTATGGAAAACCCTCGCCGTCTGTGTTATGGAAAAGGCCCTCGCCTGGCGAGGTTTAAACGTTTACCTTAGGTCAAATCTGAGATAATTAATCAGAAAGAGTTATCGAATGCGCTATGCTGCGGCGCTGTAGCTCAATCTCTTTCTGAATCCTGACTTATCGAAATACACTTGCTTTATCGAAAAAAAAAATATCAAAATCGGCGAAATTTGATTTTCGGTTGGCTCTGGTGACCTGATTTTCGACCAGTTCGACCTAACCTTAAAAATAATCTAAGTACTTTTGTCATAGTTTTTGACGCTCTTTCGAACGCTGCCTACTGCGTGTCTCGACGTGGCCCACAAGCTGAGTTAGAAGTGGGTGTTCAAACACCTCCAGCAGGTTCAATTAAAAAACGCGTACGCTGAGGGTGGCATCGCACTGCTAGGCGGGGGCGGCATCGCAATAATAAGCGGCACTGCGCTGGAGGGCACCACTTGCATTGAGGAGTGGCATTGTACGGTGAAGGGGCGGCGTCGCATTGAGGGGCGGTATCGCAACGAGGGGTGGCACTAACGAGGCTGCCTTATAAGAAACGCCTGGCACATCCTAGCCCAGCTCGACGCCGCCTGGATACTGCATCTTGAAACGGGCCCTTGGTGTCGATGAGAAAGCCCCATTGTAAAATGATTACCTACTGTCAGTGGTTTCAGGGGGTGGGGGAGGGGCGCTATCGATTTTGAATGGGGCGGGGCGACTGAAGCCTCCATTCAGATGGGCGTCAATGACTACTGGAGTGCGCCAACGACCTCGGATAGGGCGAATGTGATCTTCAGAAGGGCACCGGGTGCTCTAGAGGCGTGCAATGCTTGGACGGGGTCACTGCTGCCTTCAGTAGGGTGTCGCGGACTCGGAGGGGCGCCATTGATCTCGGATGGTCTGACTGTTATTTTCAGAGGGGCATCAGTGGTTTCAGAGGGGCGGCATTGATCTAGGATAGGCCGACTGAAATCCCGGTTCAGATGTGCGCCAGTGACTCTTGAGGGGCGCCAGCGACCTCGGATTGATGGGACGACTGTGATCTATAGAAGGGCGTTGAGAGACGCCATTGGGCATGGATGGGGCCACTGTTGCCTTCAGCAGGGCGCCGGACGCTCTGGAGAGGCGCCTTGAGCATGGGTGGGGCGACTGTAGTCTCAAAGGTCGTTGTCTCGGATGGGGCGAAAGTGATTCAGAGGGGCGCCGAGTGCTCTAGAAGGGCGCACATTAGTTTCAAAGGGTTACCATCGATCTCAAGATGGGGCAGCTGTGATCTCCGTTTAGATGGGCGCCAGTGACTTTTGAGGGGCGCCAGCGACCTCGGATGACGACGACTGTGATCTTCAGAAGCGCGCCGGAAGCTCTGCAGGTGCGTCATTGAGCTTGAAAGGGGCGACTTTAGTCTCAAGCGGGACGACTTAAGTCTCAAGGGAGGGGGCGCTAATGGCTCTTGAGGGCGCTATTGATCTTGGATGGGGCGACTGTGATCTTGAGAAGAATGCGGGTGCTTTAGAGGGGCGCCATCGATCTTGGATGGGTCCGATTGGGGCAGCTGTGAACTTAAGAGAGGCGCCGGATGCTCTAGAGGGGTGCCAACAACCTTTAACCCGGCAGTTGCTGGGGTATTTCGCCACCCACCGTTTGCTGGGGGGGGGGGGGGCGTTAAACGCCCCCAGCCGATAACTCGAGAACCAATAGGCGCAGCGAAACGCACGAGGCGGCAAACGAAAGAACGCGACGAGACGCTTCAGATGAGTACTTTAAAGTTGAATTTTGAGGTCACAGGTCGGGTCAAGGTCAGGTCAAACACCTGAAATCGGGCTTTCAGTAGCATGGACTTCAGGACTTCGAAATGGGCGCCTCTCGTCATAAACTCTGTCAAAACGGTGCACAATCCATCATATAAGGCCTACAAGAGTGTCAGCTCCATGTAGGGGTCAGTCAAGCATAGGTCAGGGTCAAGGTCAGGTCAACCGGGCAGGCACATATCCCCGAAAATCAAAACTGATATTCGCAGCCTGTGACACATGTTTTATGGGTAATTTGGGGCATAGAACACGATGGTGGCATTCATTTTATCATATGTGTACGTGTTTGGCTAAAAAAGTTCAATTTGAGAAATACATGTATCATGATTCATGGTCGTGAAGTAGTCACGAGAAATTGCCAAGATTCAGTTCAAGATTTTGGAAAATGCGGAACGCTAATCAATAATCGAAGATAGCCATTTGATTGTTCATGGTATTGGCAGTGTAATGGCGGTTACGGCATGTCTGTATGTCTATTCTGTGATTTTATATGATTTTTGGAACATATGCCGTTTTTGGTCGAAAACTCAGAAATCATGACGTCACTAAAACCTCGATATCTCAAAACTTTTCAGGCCGATTTTTTTGAAACTTTGTCACAATAAACTTTAATCAATTCCCTACAGGTACCCAAAATTTGGCGCGCCCGTTTTTATGCTATGGCCCGGCGAAAAAGTGGGGGCGTTTAACGCCCCCCCCCCCAGCAACTCGCGGGTTAATGGGTTGGCTCTTCCATTCAGGTGGGTGCCAGCGGCTTTTAACCCGCGCCCGGCTGGGGGTCCTGGATTTCCACGCCCTGCTGGGGGGAGGGGGGGTGTTTGAACACCCCTCCTTCTAACTCGGCTCCTGGGCCACGTAGCGATACGCAGAAGGCGGCGTTCGAAAGAGCGTCAAAAATAATGAGGAAATCACTTCGGTCAATTTTTTGGTCAGGTCAAAGGTCAGGTCACCAGAGGTCATTGAAGACAAAATTTCGCCGATTTCCAGGTCGAATGTCGACAATTTCCAAGAAGCCAACGCATAACTCGGGAACCAATAGAGCTACAGCGCCGCGAAAAAGCGCATTCGATAGCCCTATTAACGCCCTTTCTGAGCAATTCTCTCAGATTTGACCTAACGTCAACGGTTTTGCCTGCAGGGGGCAAAAACTGCAAAAATAACCGATTTTTTCGGAAACAGTTTTTCTGCAATAACTTTTGACCCAAGCCTTGTATGAGCTTACTTTTACCGGCATCGTGTTCCTCTCGTCAAGACGCATCGAATGAACTATAACTTGACCTTGAAAGGTCAACTTGGAAATTTGACCTCAGGTCAAGGTCATGACCTGACCGGAAAGGGTCATGTTGCATATCAGTCGATCCGTATCGTCGAGCTGGACACATCTAAGGCGTTTTCATCGCTCTAGCATGCCTCTATCAAAAGTTATTTGCGAAAAACTGTTAGATACCATTCGTGACCTAAGATGACCTCAGGGCATAAACAGGGGTCACGGACACCATTTCCATGTTCAGTGTGTCTAAACCACTTGTAATTCAGTGTTTGGGAGTGTTTATAATGTCTTTCGTCCAAAAGAGGCGCATTTCAATTTTCTCCCATTGACTTATAATGGGGAGGTCGCAAAATTGACCTGACCTTAGGTCATCGATATCAAAATTTTGAGATATACATTTTGTACATGCTATTGCTCTTAGCAATCACTGAAAGTTTCAAAGCGATCGGTCACTCGGTGTAGCTATGACAGACATTGAAACTTTTTTATGAGGTGAGGTCACTTCAAGTGACCTGGTGACCTGACCTTGAATGACCTTGGTCTGAAATTTTCACAACATGTGTAGAATTGATGTATGATAAGGTGTACCAAAAACGGTGGCGCTCCGCGCCGCAGTTTTTGAGATATTCGCGAAAAACCACAAGGGGGTGTTCAAACACCCCCCAGCAGGGCGCGGGTTAAGGGGCGCCATCGACCCTGGGGGTTCGAAATATTCTGGTTTCCGGAGGGGCACCCTTCAACATTGGGGGGCTCAGGTCCTATGGGTGCCTCGTAGAACATTGGGGTGTACAGGCACCCCAAAAGAGGTAGAGTTCGATCTCTGCCTGCACATCGCTTTTTAATTCATGTTCACTCTGTAAAACAGCATCAGCCTTGTCGGCGCTTATTGGGGCGCCATCTGGGCGGCTGGGCGGAAAGGGGGGCCATGGCGCCTATGACCCCCCTTGTCTACGCCACTGGGCCCGCCGCCCACTCGCGGCCAAACACAACAGGCTGCGGCCCGGCCGGGCGCCGACCGCCACCACTGCCAACGGCGCCGTCTCGGCCACACTGCAGCCGCGAGAGAGAGAGAGAGAGAGAGAGAGAGAGAGAGAGAGAGAGAGAGAGAGAGAGAGAGAGAGAGAGAGACAGACAGACAGACAGAGACAGAGACAGAGACAGAGACAGAGACAGAGACAGAGACAGAGACAGAGACAGAGACAGAGACAGAGACAGAGACAGAGACAGAGACAGAGACAGAGACAGAGACAGAGACAGAGACAGAGACAGAGACAGAGACAGAGACAGATAGATAGAGAGAGAGAGAGAGAGAGAGAGAGAGAGAGCCAGAGAGAGAGAGAGAGAGAGAGAGAGAGAGAGAGAGAGAGAGAGAGAAAGAGAGAGAGAGAGAGCCAGAGAGAGGGGGGCAACCTTTGTGCACATCTTTCTTGAAAATTTAAAGTCCCAATCTTTTTAGGTCAGGTCACCAAGTCACAAAAACCGGTACAAGGTTAGGGGAAAATTGGACTAGCTTAGCGGCAACTGAATTCCAAAGTCCACTTAAATTGGTGACAAAGTATATCATTCGATTCGCACGGACGTCCTGAGCTCACTGGTGCTTTTATTTTTGCTCTATCTTTACTAGGTAAAAAGTTAGAGGCGAAAAACGTTTGACATGATTTAGCAAAATTTTTGCACTCATACCCCCCAAAAACCCCCTAAATATTGACTTAGAGTCACCAAACTTTGACAGAAGCGAGATCTCCTAAGGACCCACCTACCCTGTGAATTTGGTGTTTCTAAGTGCCATAGGAGCCAATCGCGAGGGGGTCGTAACAACCCCCCCTCGCCGTCCGTGTTATGGAAAAGGCCCTCGCTTGGCGAGGGTTAAAGGGCAATTTGAGAATTTGACCTAAGGTAAAGGTCATCACCTCACCGGGAAAGGTCATATTGCATATAAGTCGATCCGTATTGTCGAGAAGGAAAATAGTTATATAAGGTGTTCCATTGCTCTACCTGTTGAATATTGCTCAGTACCGTATCGTATCGTTTAGCGCCTGTACCGTACAGTGATTGACCGCTAGCGACATCTATTAGTTGGATTGGGTTGTGCGGATTGTGGCCGCTGCCGACTGTGGCTCTGTTAGCTGCGACTTTGGTATGTGGCGCGCGGTGATTGGCCTTGACCCCGAGCAGCTGTGCCACGCCCGCGCACAGACAGCTGTTTTCGTTTTTTGTGTGGCATTGTGTTTTTTTCTGTTGGCACGGTTGGAGGCGTTTCCCCAATACAGTGCATCGGATTTTTGATTCTGCTTGGTCTTCTTCGCCTGCTACGGCCCGGCCCGACCCTGCGATTCAGCGGTCGACTTTATTCGGAAACATTGGTGCCGAAACTGTCGGGATGGCGGAGGAGAGGAGCAGAATAGCGGCTAAGGGCTGGCTGACCCGCGCTGGGTCCAAGATGGAGGCGTTGTTATGCCGAGAAGACGCGGGTTCCGACGAGTGGCGTTTGGAGGCGCAGATCGTGGAATCTGAATTCCTGAAGCGGCTCGATGCGTTTGATGCTGCTCAGGCCGCGTTTGAAGCCAGCCTGAACGACGAGGAAGAGCTCATGAAAGATATCGAGCGGAGTGCAGCGTTCCGTGACACCTTCACCAGTCTGCGCGCTCGCTTCCGTAAGGCTCTGACGGCTGATCAGGAGCCGGCTCTCAGCTCGTCCTCACATGGACAGGCAATGAAGCTCCCCAAGTTATCACTGCCGACCTTTGATGGTGATGTGAGGGGCTGGCCTATGTTTTGGGAATCATTCTGTGCTTGTGTGGATCAAGCTGAACTTCCTGACGTGTCTAAGTTTTCTTACCTTCGGTCACTACTGAAGGGGGAGGCCTTGAAGGCTATCAGTGGCTTGGTGCTCACTGGCTCAAGCTACAAGGCGGCCTGTGACATCCTCCGTCAGAGGTATGGCCGCCCAGAGAGACTCGTCTTTCTTCACATTGAGGCGTTGCTGAATGTGAGCCTGAACCAATGTGATCTGCAACGTCTGCAGGATGAACTGATGTCCCACATCAGAAGTTTGGAGGGCCTTGGTGTTGAAGGGGAGAAGTTCGGAGTATTCCTCACCCCCTTGGTGCTCTCTAAGCTCCCTGAAGAGGTCCGACTGGAGTGGGCAAGAGGTTCGGAGGGAAGAGAGAGTGATCTGGAGTACCTCCTCCAGTTCCTTGCCTCGGAGATTCAGAGGAGGGAGCGCTCTGGCAACTACTGCCACCTGGAGCGGGTGGATCACTCTGCTGCTGCTGCTGCTCCTGCTGAGGGTGGCCGCCGATCGTCTTCTGGACAGCCTGGTGGTCGGCTGGGTGGCCGCCCTGCTCGGGCTCCCGGCCGCCTCAGGCAGTTCACTGGGAAGCCATCACCTGCTGGTTCTACAGCTGCTGCTCTGCAGGCCTCATCTGAGACCACCTGTGGCTTCTGTCAGGGACCTCACCTATCAGATAAGTGCAAAGATTGGCTTAAGTTATCGCGTGAAGAAAGATTTGAGAGGGTCAGAGGGGCTAGACTGTGTTTTAGCTGTCTGTCATCTAGCCACATGGCTAGATCTTGCTCTGTTAGATGTAAGGAGTGTGGTCGTAGACATCACACCATGTGCTGTCTCAGAAGGGAGGGTGTCCGGGACTCTGATCAGAGTAGGGCTGGACCTGAGGCACCCACTGAGAGGCAGCCCCGTGACGCTGACACAGCCTCTGCCTCTCTGTCTTCTCATACGGGAGGGGATCATGTGTTGCTTCCCACTGCTACTGTGCGGGTGATTGGGAATGATGGGAAACCTGTGTTTGCTAAACTGATCATGGATTCTGGGGCTGATCGCTCCTTTGTGTCCGAGGGGCTACTGAAAAGGGTCAAGGGGACATGGAAGGGCTCTGTCGAGATGGCATATGCTGCCTTTGGTGGTGGGAAACAGGACGGTGTTTATGATAAGTTCGAGTTACAGCTTGCTGCTGCAAATGAGTCTGTGTCATCTGTTCACAGGATTGAGGCAGTGCGCGTACCAGTGATATGCGCACCTCTGAGACGCCCTGTTGTGCCAGCTCAGCTCCTGAGTGCCTTCTCACACCTGCCGCTAGCTGATACGTACTCAGACGACCAGGACCAGCAGATACGAGTAGACATCCTGGTGGGACAGGACCAGTACTGGGATCTGGTGAGAGCTGGCCTGTTCCGCAGTCCGGATGGCCTGGTAGCTCAGGAGACTGTCTTTGGGTGGGTGTTGTCTGGCAGGGCTGAGGGTCCCCCTGGGAGCCCGTCTGTTGGAGGTGGGGCCTCATGCCAGCTGCTGACCATGACAGATGTGCCTGTGGGTAGAAACCTGTGGTCTATGGGTGGCTCTGGGGACACTGTAGGCCTGGGGGATGCCACTGGTCTGGAGGACACTGCTGAGCCTGATTTGATACAGGAGTTTAAGGAGTCTGTGACCTATGATGATGGCAGGTACGTTGTGAAACTGCCCTGGAGATCTGATGGTTTGGTGTCAAAGCTGAGTGACAACAGAGAGGCCGCTGAGGCTCGTCTTTCCAGTTTGTCCAGGAAGTTAGATGGGAACCCCCTGCTGAGGGAGAGATATGATTGTGCCTTGAGGGAAATGGAGACCTCTGGTGTGATTTGTGAGGTCCCAACTGAGGAGATGTGCTCTGAATTCCCAGTCTATTACATGCCACATCGCCCAGTGGTGAAAGAGACTAGTAGGGGGATGAAAGTGCGCCCTGTCTTTGATGCATCTGCCCGAGGCTACAATGGTTTGTCATTGAATGACTGCGTGGAGCTAGGGCCGGCGTTGATTCCCAGTCTGCCGGAGGTTCTCCTGCGGTTCAGGAGATGGCGATTCGGCTTCTCCGCCGACATCGTCAAGGCTTTTTTGCAAGTCAGGCTTGCACGTGAGGACCAGGACGTGCACAGGTTCTTATGGCTCTGTGAGGGCAGAGTTAGGGTGATGCGCTTCCAGCGCGTGACGTTTGGTGTTGCTTGCAGTCCCTTTTTGCTTAATGCAACTGTTCAACACCATCTGTCCCAGTATGGTGATGAGCCTGTGGTGCAGGAGATGAAAGAGAACTTCTACATGGACGACCTGCTTTCAGGAGCGGACTCGGAGGCAGAGGTTGTAGCCATGTTCAGGGAAGCGCGCTCCATCATGGGAGCTGCTGGGATGGAGCTGTCAAAGTGTTCGTCCAACTCTGCTGTTCTCTTCGGTGAGCTCGAAGGTGGCTCAGTCAGTGACAGCGTGAAGGTGCTTGGTGTGACTTGGTGGCCCGACGACGACACTTTCTCCTTTGTAGGTCAACTCCTCCCTGATGATGTTGTCCCAACGAAACGTGTCCTGCTTAGTCTGATTGCTAGACTGTTTGACCCTCTCGGGTTCCTGACTCCGTTCACAATGCTCGCTAAATGCCTTTTCCAGGACCTGTGGGAGCAGGGTTCTGGGTGGGACGAGCCGCTTCGGGGCGGCGATGCTGAGTTGTTCAGGAGCTGGGTGGACGGTCTTCAGCTGCTGCAGCGGCACCGGATCCCACGCTGCTACTCAGCTGGCGGTGGACCTGACTGGTCCTCTGATGCACGTAAGGAGTTGCACGTTTTCGCTGACGCGTCGCCTAAGGGCTATGGTGCAGTGGTGTACATTCGCCTCTCACTGCCTGATGGGTCCAGTTCTGTGTCAATGGTGATGTCAAAGGCCAGAGTGGCTCCTCTGAAGAGGCAGACGTTACCTCGGCTGGAGCTGATGGCTTGCCTGATGGCCAGTCAGCTGGTTGAGTTGGTACGAAAGGCTCTGCGTTTGCCTGACGGTGCCTTGTGTACATGCTGGTCTGACTCGATGATCGCCCTCGGATGGCTGACAGGTGATCCTCGGAGGTGGAAGCCCTTCGTGGCCAGCCGAGTGCGCCAGATCCAGTCTCTGACGCCTGTGGCGTGCTGGCGTCATTGCAGCTCATCCGACAACCCCGCAGACCTGCTGACGCGTGGCATGTTGGCCGATGATTTGCTCGTGTCTCGGCTGTGGCGCTCTGGTCCTGACTGGCTTCGTGTAGCCGCCCAGCCGCTCCAGGTCAGCGACGGGACGGCGTCCTGGGTGGACGCCTCGGAATCGGCGCAGCTTCTGATCCGAGAAGAGATGGTGGCTGTTTCTGGTGAGCCGGCGCGTGAGGTCGGTGACCTCCGCGGCGTCCTGTGTGACGCGAGAGTGCAAACAGTCCTTTCGGAGGATGCTGCTGCACCATGTGCCCCCACTGATGTCGGAGAGGGGAAGTTGCTGTGTTCTGACGACGCAGTGGCGGCTGATGGGGCACCAGATCCGCGGGTGAGCCCGCCACCTGACGGAGGAGTCGGTGCGGCGGCGCCGCCCCGTGCCGATGGTCCAAGTGACCGTGCTTCTGTCCAGACGAGGTTGTTAGACCTCGACAGATTTGGATCACTGAACAAGGCCACCCGAGTGATGGGTTGGGTTCAGAGATTTGTCCGGAACGCTCGTGGTGTGAACCGCTGCAGCGAGCAAGACCTGACGTGTGCTGAGATGACTGATGCGCGGAACGCTCTGTTTCGCCTTGTACAGGTTGAGAGTTTTCATGCTGAGATGACAGCTCTGAGGATGGGTGGTAGAGTTCCAGCCAGCTCGCCACTTCACAGGCTCTCGCCCTTCTTGTCTGATGGTCTGCTGCGTGTTCAAGGGCGACTCCAGTTTAGTCAGCTATCTTATGAGGAAAAGCATCCTATTATTTTGCCCAAGGGGCACTTGTCGTACTTGCTCGTTCGTGAGCAGCACCACCTCATGCATCATGCTGGTGTAGCCACCCTGCTGACTGCTGTGAGATCTGAGTTTTGGGTGCTGGGGCTCAGAGCCATTGCTCGCCGCGTTGTTCGTAGCTGTCTGGCGTGCCGTTGGCAGGATGCCAGGGCCGGTTCGCAGCAGACCGCCCCTCTGCCGCGGGATAGGGTGTCTCCTGCCCCGCCATTTTCAGTCACTGGCGTGGACTTCGCAGGGCCACTGTTTTCTGTTGATTTCCCACGGAAGAAGTTATACGTTTGTCTATTTACCTGCGCGGTCACTCGTGCCGTGCATTTGGAGCTGACCGAATCGCTGTCGCTGCCGCATTTCATGCTGGCGTTCCGCAGGTTTGCTGCTCGGAGAGGTGTGCCGTCCACTGTCTATTCCGACAACGCGACCACCTTCAAAGGCGCCGACGTTCAGCTTCGCAAGTACTTTGGGCGGCTCTCTCCTTGTTGGAAATTCATCGCCCCCCTCTCCCCGTGGTGGGGGGGTTGGTGGGAACGTCTGATACGTTCAGTCAAGGTCGCGCTTCGTAAGTCACTGGGAAAGCGCTGTCTGACGCGCATTGAATTGGAAACCGTGCTGAGTGAGGTCGAGGCTTGCATTAACTCGCGACCACTCACCTTTCAGGGTGACACTCCAGATTGTCCGGGACCTCTGACGCCAAACCATTTTTTGACTGGGCGCAGTGTAGGGTTTCAGGCCAGGGCGGCCGAGGATCCGTCTGCCGTGACTGCGCGGGCGTTGAGTGACAGGGCACGGGTCTGTGAGATGCGCCTGTCCAAGTTTTGGGCTGCCTGGAGGAATGAATACTTGAGGACTCTACCGCCCGCAGTGAGCGGTAAGGGACAGGGTAAGCTAGAGGTGGGCTCACCTGTTCTGGTGCACGAGGAGGGGACCCCCCGGCTTAAGTGGGATATGGGGGTGGTTACTCGCGTGTTCTCTGGGAGGGACGGCTTGGTCCGGTCTGCTGAGGTGAGAACCCCTGGTGGTCTGAGAACGAGGTCTGTACAGCGGCTTCATAACCTTGAAGTCCTTCCATCCTCTCTTCCTTCACCCGGGTGTCCTGCCTGAGTGCCTCTTGCAGGTCCCTCGCGCACTGCCTCAGTGGTAGGCATTTTAAATATCAAGTCGTGTTACGTTTCAGTGGTGTGTCTGTATGAAATGTTTGCACTTTATTTGATGTAGGTAGTGAACATATGCATTGTTCACGGCTCTGTTTCTGTTATTCATTGGCTCTGCCAAGAGTCGGCGGGAGGGTGTTGAATATTGCTCAGTACCGTACCGTATCGTTTAGCGCCTGTACCGTACAGTGATTGACCGCTAGCGACATCTATTAGTTGGATTGGGTTGTGCGGATTGTGGCCGCTGCCGACTGGGGCTCTGTTAGCTGCGACTTTGGTATGTGGCGCGCGGTGATTGGCCTTGACCCCGAGCAGCTGTGCCACGCCCGCGCACAGACAGCTGTTTTCGTTTTTTGTGTGGCATTGTGGTTTTTTCTGTTGGCACGGTTGGAGGCGTTTCCCCAATACAGTGCATCGGATTTTTGATTCTGCTTGGTCTTCTTCGCCTGCTACGGCCCGGCCCGACCCTGCGATTCAGCGGTCGACTTTATTCGGAAACACTACCATATATCTCTATCAAAAGTCATTGTCTAAAAACTACTGGAGACCGTTTATGACCCGAAATGACCTCAGTAGCATAGAAGCGTCACATCACGAGTGAAATTTCCCGATGAAATGTGTCAAAAAACGTGGAGGCGCCCGGTATATGTTACAGACCGTATGAAAACCCAGTCCGTTTGCAAACGGCCTGGCCCAGTCAGTCCGTTTGAAAACGGCCTGAAAAAGCCGGCCGTTTGCAAACCGCCTGAAATATCAGGCCGTATGAAAACGGCCTAGGCAGTTTGAAACGGCCTAGCCCTAGACAGTTTAAAACGGCCTAGTCAGTTTTCAAACGGTCTGACGAAGTACAACAACCTCTGAAGATGACTTAATGGATCCAAGTTGGTCGATGATCAGGTTGTATCCATGAACGCTTGCTCTTATACGGCCTTGAACGCTTGCGCATTCTGCCGAATGACTCGTCTACGTCCAACATTTTCTTACTGTGCAGCTGCTTGGCCCGGCCGTTTTCCTCGACAATATTACTACCTACTAATACAATTTCTCGGTCCGCCTGTTTATCGGCCATCCAGTTGATGGAGCGTGAAGCCACCACAGGCAGTACGTAGGGCGACGTAAGCAAATTGTGTTGCTGATGCACTTCTGCTTTTTGTTTGAGGATGCCGTTTCGTATTTATTGGTGTGTGGGGAAGGGGAGGTGGAGGGAAAACTTCAGGCCCGTTTGGAGAGGGAAAAGGGAACCCTGATTATAAACGATAGAGTGGTTTAGTCGGGGTAGAACCAAGACAAATTAAAGTATGGTGGTGTTGGTACTGTGTTGGTAGGTAGCGTTGGTAGTGTTGGTACGTTACTATGGTAGTGATGTATGAAAACTTCATCATATCCCGGTCCTCACCGCGCCCGGTCGACCGTCGGGGGCTGGCCGGTGGCGTACGCCGGCAATACACCATTGCGGTGGAAGGCGAAACTTTGAAGTCCGGGGGGAAGCCCGGATCGACCGGGCGCTATACGGGCCGGGCCTCAGTTCTGCTAATCTCTTCCTGACAATGATTTCATTGTGCCATGTAATGTCATGAATTGGTCGCGCTTAAACAAACTCAACATTGTCCAGCTATCTTCATGCAGACCAGATTGTTTTCAAAGTGCCTAGACCGTTTGCAAACGGCCTGGTGTCTCGAAAGTTGTCATACGGCCTAGACGGTTTCCAAACAGCCTGAAATTTCAGGCGGTTTGCATACAGCCTGGAATTTCAGCCCGTATTCAAACGGCCTGACTTTTCAGTCCGTTTGCATACTGACTGGGCTGTCCAGGCCGTTTGCAAACGGCCTGAATCGGACCAGGCCGTTTGCAAACGGACTGAGTTTTCATACGGCCTGTAACATATATGTTACGGGGAGTTTGAGAAATCCGTGAGTTTGCAAACTCCCTAGGGAGTTTGCAAACTCCCTGACCCATCAGTGAGTTTGCAAACTCACTTGGGAGTTTACAAATTCACTAGGGAGTTTGCAAACTCACTGACCGGTCAGGGAGTTTGAGAAATTTCAGAGCGATTGGGCCAAATAAAAACAAGTGTGCAGCATATGGATGGCATACGTGCCGTCCATGATGTTAAAACAAAGGAGGCTAGTTGTAGGGCCTCGCACGCTGACAAAAAGCTTATAGATCATATGCACATTGCACACCATAAATACTTTTTATTTTAAACTGCTCAATGATCTATCCATGCATTATTTTTTATTATCCACGCCGCTTTATTTAGTCATACATTTATTTAGTTCACGTCCCAATTAGATCTGTTCCACTCAAATGTGGCTATTCTACAGTCAGGCTCAATATATCAAAGTAGAAACAGCTCACTGTTGGTCACTTATCCTAAAGTACAGGCACACGCACCAATTCACCGCACGCTATAACGGTCGCACGCTGACAAAAAGCTTACAGATCCTTAATTGTTTTACCGCCAAAAAATGCTACTCGCGGCTATGTAAAGGGGATGTTCGGTGCAACGTGCTCCTCCGTTCCGTCGTTTCCATCCTCAGGAATCAGGATACTGAAATCCTTCTCCACGCCGAAACCCCCACTCCGGGCTGGACAGGCACCTTTATCTCATGCGGGCTGCTCCCTTGAAGCGGCACCGCTGCTCCCGAGGGAGCGAGCGCACCCCGTAGCCGGGTGCAGAGAGTGCTTGGGGGGCTGGTCGGACTGTCCATTCGGACGGGCTAAGCCCCGGCGACTCTCTAGGGTGTCTGCCCAGACCAATGTCTCCCCCTAATTCCTATCATTCTTCCGGCTCTGAAATGGTCTTGTCAGACCGAAAGGGGCTAACCCAACAAAACAAAAACAAACAAGCAGCGTGCGCCAGTCGCAGCTGGGCTGGCTCATGGCTGCCAGCAGCGCCGGCTCTCGATGTCACGTCTGTTGTCTATGGCGGAGTGGGAATGGGCGTGAATTGGTGCATGTGCCTGTACTTTAGCATAGATGACCAACTGAACTGTTTCTACTTTAATATATTGAGCCTGACTCTGGAACAGCCACACTTGAGTGGAATGGATCTAATTGGGACGTGAACTAAATAAATGTATGACTAAATACAGCGGCGGTACATGCTTGGATAGATCACTGAGCAGTTCAAAATAAAAAGGTATTTATGGTGTGCATATGATCTATCAGCTTTTTGTCAGCGTGCGAGGCACTACAACTAGCCGCCTTTGGTTTAACATCACGGACGGTACTTATGCCACCCACATGCTGCACACTTGTTTTTATTTGGCCCAATCGCTCTGTAATTTCTCAAACTCCTTGACCGGTCAGTGAGTTTGCAAACTCCCTAGTGAGTTTGCAAACTCACTGATGGGTCAGGGAGTTTGCAAACTCACGGATTTCTCAAACTCCCTGTAACATGTATAGTATACTGATGTGTGCACCGATTGTTTATGTGTCCATATTACATGAAATCATGATCTGAGAAGCTTTTGCCAAAAATGCAGTCAAAAAACTTCACAAAAAGTAAATTCCGGTTGCCTAAAACACAATTATCTTAGATGACCTATGTTGACCTTGACCTTGACCTTGACATCTGTACATCGTCGATCAACATGTTCCATGATAGGTGGGAGGTAAGACTGGTAAAAAAGGCCGAAATCAAGGTGTCGAAAGCTCACAAGGCAGTGGCGCAGCCAGGGTGGGGTCAGAGGGTCAGCTGACCCCCCCGAAATTTATGTCAGGGGCCCGCTCTGGTCTGAAACCTTCGATAAAAAAGTATGCATCGCGCGCGCGCGCGCGCGCGAGAGAGAGAGAGAGAGAGAGAGAGAGAGAGAGAGAGAGAGAGAGAGAGAGAGAGAGAGAGAGAGAGAGAGAGAGAGAGAGAGAGAGAGAGAGAGAGAGAGAGAGAGAGAGAGAGAGAGAGAGAGAGAGAGAGAGAGAGAGAGAGAGAGAGAGAGAGAGAGAGAGAGAGAGAGAGAGAGAGAGAGAGAGAGAGAGAGAGAGAGAGAGAGAGAGAGAGAGAGAGAGAGAGAGAGAGAGAGAGAGAGAGAGAGAGAGAGAGAGAGAGAGAGAGAGAGAGAGAGAGAGAGAGAGAGAGAGAGAGAGAGAGAGAGAGAGAGAGAGAGAGAGAGAGAGAGAGAGAGAGAGAGAGAGAGAGAGAGAGAGAGAGAGAGAGAGAGAGAGAGAGAGAGAGAGAGAGAGAGAGAGAGAGAGAGAGAGAGAGAGAGAGAGAGAGAGAGAGAGAGAGAGAGAGAGAGAGAGAGAGAGAGAGAGAGAGAGAGAGAGAGAGAGAGAGAGAGAGAGAGAGAGAGAGAGAGAGAGAGAGAGAGAGAGAGAGAGAGAGAGAGAGAGAGAGAGAGAGAGAGAGAGAGAGAGAGAGAGAGAGAGAGAGAGAGAGAGAGAGAGAGAGAGAGAGAGAGAGAGAGAGAGAGAGAGAGAGAGAGAGAGAGAGAGAGAGAGAGAGAGAGAGAGAGAGAGAGAGAGAGAGAGAGAGAGAGAGAGAGAGAGAGAGAGAGAGAGAGAGAGAGAGAGAGAGAGAGAGAGAGAGGCCTAATCTCATCGGATCCGAGTCCGCTTTGATAAATGCCTACTGGGACACGGGTGAGGGGCCCGGTACCCCAGGTGGACGGGGCCCGGGGCCCGGGTGGATGGGCCCGGGCCTCCAGGTGGATGGGGCCCGGGCCCCCGGGTGGACGGGGCCCGGGCCCCGGGTGGATGGGCCTGGGCTCCCGGCTGGACGGGGCCCGGGCCTCCGGGTGGACGGGGCCCGGGCCTCCGGGTGGACGGGGCCCGGGCCTCCGGGTGGACGGGGCCCGGGCCCCCGGGTGAATGAGGCCCGGACCCCCTGGTGAACGGGGCCCGGGCCCCGGGTGGATGGGCTCGGGCCCCCGGGTGGATGGGTCCGGGCCCCCGGTTGGACGGGCACCGGACTCCCGGGTAGACGGTGCCCGGGCCCCCGGGTGGATGGGGCCCGGGCCCCCAGGTGAACGGGCCTGAGACTCTCAGGTCTAGGGTCCTAGGCACAGGAGCCCAGTTCTCTGAAGTGATTAGGTACTGAGCTGGCAATGTTTGAAAGGGCCCGGCTCTAAGAAATAGCGAGGAACAGGGGTCCGGTTGAAACAGGGCACGGATCTGAAAAATGTAAGAATACAAAGGCCTGGTTAAACGGGGCGGCTGGTTTTTAGATATGCCTGGGCACAGACCTAGAAAACAGGGGCCAGTTCTAACAAATTCGTGGTCTTTGGACCTCCTCGAAAGGGGCGCGGATGTAGGTATCAAACTCTTACCAGAGGGGCATATTGGGATAGGGTTCAGTTCAATTCTGCTAAAACCTCAGTCAAAAGGGCCCGGTCTGAGGGGCGAGCCCCTACCGAGACACAAGGCCCCTGGTGGACGCGGCCCAGTTCTAGGGCCAAAAATCTACGCAAGGGGCCCGGTCGGAC